GGGGATAGCACCTGTCTCATAGAGTTTTTAAAATGATTAAATGACTCAATATGTGGGAAACACTTAGAATATTGCTGTGTACATAATAAGCCCTCAATTAATTATTATTGTCCAGTATACTGGACCTCCCCTTATTTCCTTTTTCCAATTAATACTCCTTGATGGGGGGCACCTGGGTGGCTCAGTTGGTTAAGTGTCTGACTTTGGCTCAGGTCATGATCTCACAGTCTGTGGGTTCAAGCCCCATGTTGGGCTCTGTGCTGACAGCTCAGAGCCTGGAGACTACTTCAGATTCTGTGTCTCCTTCTCTCTCTGCATCTCCCCAGCTTGTGCTCTCTCTCAGTAATAAATAAATAAGCTTAAAAAATTATTTAAAAATACTGCTTGATGATACAGGCAAGAAAGTTCTAGATCACACATGGCTGCTTTTCCCTTTCTCTTCAATGCCCGTATTATATCAGTTCCAACGTCTTTTGATTCACTTTCTCAAATGCCTGTTAAGTTCTTCTCCTTATCTGCAATCCCACTGCAACTCTCTTCCCTTGCTTGAATGATTGATATAGACTTCTAACTAGTATCTGAGCTTCCAGCTACTTTCAGGTTAAACAAAGACATGTCATTATCTCATATGATAATAAAAACAGCTAACATTTTCGAGTTTTTACTATTAACTGGGAAATGTTTAGAGCTTTACATGGATTAGTTAGTTCTTTAAATTACCACACCCAGCACCTGAAGAGGTACTTATATTATTTCCCTTTTGTAGATAGGAAAATTCAGCACAGAGTACTTAGGGGACTTGTCCAGGGCCACACAGCCATAATGGCCCAGGTAGGACCTGAACACAGGCTCTCTGTCCAGGCACTTCACCGTATATTCTCCCCTATGCAGTTGCACCCCAAAGGAGGCACGCAATCCCCAGAGTGTGTCACTGATGAAAATTTTAGAACTTCTATTTACTTTCATTTTAAACTAAAATTATGAAATCCATTAAGGTTGATTAATGTAAAATATATGGATTAACATTGGCAGCCTCACTTGGCCTGTCAGATGGTCCTCACTGCACGCAGTACCTGAGGCACCTATAAGGGAAGAGGGAATTTGACAAGTTGAGAGGTTGACAGTGACATTTTCACACAAGTTTGCTGCCATTGACTCATTACATGTAGTTCACGTGCTATGAGGGGGTCATCAGGGCAGGCACATGCTTACAAAGTTGACTTCTAAAAAGTACTATATTACAGTACTTTTTTTTTTTTTTAAACTTTTTTTTCAATGTTTATTTATTTTTGGGATAGAGAGAGACAGAGCATGAACGGGGGAGGGGCAGAGAGAGAGGGAGACACAGAATGGGAAACAGGCTCCAGGCTCTGAGCCATCAGCCCAGAGCCCGACGCGGGGCTCGAACTCAGGGACCGCGAGATCGTGACCTGAGCTGAAGTCGGACGCTTAGCCGACTGCGCCACCCAGGCGCCCCTATATTACAGTACTTTTAATGAAATGAGAAGTGGATGTGAAATACTGATCCTGAATGGAGGTTTACTCAAGGCAAAGTGTTGTCAAACCTATAGATGAATGTATTAAAAATGTCTGACCTTTTCTATCTGGTAAGTGACTATTAGTTGTAAGCTGTTAGAAAATAATCCTGAGAAATTAAGAATATCCTAATATGCACCTTCAAAGTAAAATGGACAATCTAATAATGAGGGAAAGAATAACTGATTTTCAAAAGGAAGTCACGTTGTGGAGACAGCACGTTAAAAACAGATCTTTGGGGATATTTACAGTGCTGCAATTTTCTCTTTTCTTTTTCTCTCCCTCCTTCCCTCCTATCAGCCGAAAATGATAGGTGTTAAATATAGAACCTGCATTCTTTGAAAATATAGAAAAATAATTTTCTCTTCTGCCCCTATTTTTCAAATGAAAAATTTCAACAGGCTTTGAACCCATGTGGTAAAAGTATAAAGTACAACTTCTGGTTAATTTCTAATAACAGGCAATCAACATTAGGGAAGGCTGATCCTTACCAGCCAAATTTCAATAAAAGGTTTGCCTCAGTGATAGCATTTAAAAATGAGTACCAAGAGTATCAGAATCCTCATTTGGACCTACATACCCTATAAGACAAATATTTTGTGTATGACATTGAAATCATAAAATCATTAAAATCAAGTATCAAAATAAGACCTTCAAATCACTGTCATGAAATGCTAAACTGAAGTTTCAAAAGTAATTGGGATTATTCAATCAATCATAAGACATGTTACTTATAAAACATTTTTACTGTAGATAAATAAAATATTTTAAATTACTAAAGTATTTCAAAATCTTTTGCTTTTAAATGTCATAATGTTTCCAACAAATTAATATGAAGCCAAGTATATAAAACTAATCAATACAATAATATCAATATATTAGCGCTGTATAAAATGTTTTGACAAAAAGTGTGGAGATTACTGCTCAATATTAATATAACTATGTTTATGATTGCTGTCTACCATTTAGAATACTTTATTTGCAAAGTGCTTATTCCTACCACTTTTCTGGAGTAAAAATTATTGCTATAATTAAATGTTTAGGGTCATCTGGATGGCTCAATTGGTTGGGCGTCCGACTTCAGCTCAGTTCATGATCTCATGGCTCATAAGATTGAGCCCTGCGTCAGGCTCTGTGCTGGCAGCTCCGAGCCTGGAGCCTGCTTCAGTGTCTGTGTCTGTCTCTGCCCTTCCCCCACAATGCTTTCTCTCTTTCTCTCAAATATAAATAAACATTAAAAAAAATAATTAAATGTTAAGTTCATGTTTTTTACTTCTTTTGCTCACATGTGTGTGTGTGTGTGTGTGTGTGTGCGCGCGTGTATGTGTATGAAAATATGTACCTTGTTTCTAACTGGCCACATTTTTTTCTCCTTCAACTTTTCAATCCTTGTTTATTCTTTAGATTGATCTGACTGAATTTCCTTGCTTTGCCTCTCTGACTCACCTCCACGTCCCCCCTTTCTTGTCTGGTCTCACTGGGTTTCTGGTTTCAGGCTCTCTCCTTTTCTCTTCTTCTCTCGTCTCCCTCCATTATTCCATCCTCTCTGGAACCCAATCAGTACTCTAGGAAGTATGGTGGTGATAGACAATCACAGACAAGTAAGTAGGGAGTTCACTGGCTTCCACTTCCATTGCGGAGGACAAATGAACTGGCCATCAGCATTCCCCAGGATAACTTAAGGGCAGGACTGTGGAAGGTTGGGTGGCTGAGCAGAGGTAAGAGGTGGGTGCCCCACATGTGATGCATCTGGATCTTGCTGCCCTGAGTTCAGTGCTCTCTCTCATCTTCTACTGAGAGCTGGAGGGTAACAGCAGGTGACATTGGAGAAAAACTAAAAATCATTAGTTGTGTGTGGGAGGACCCATAGCTGATTTGGGAAAGGCAGAAAATGGTGGGCATGTGGACCTTCCAGTAAGGGGCCAGAGCTTTGCATGTCTCAGAGGAGTTGTGCCCCCAGTGGATTAAGATGGAACTATAAAGGCACCTAGTTACAACACTATTTGTTATAGGGCAGAAATCAGTGTAAGTCCTGCCGGCCCTGGCTCTTTTCCAAAGGATTTTATTTCCTGAATCACCAAAACCATTTCCCTTTGCAGGCTGCCCCACAGCCCCCATGCTCAGCACGGAATTGCAAACAGTGAGGCTCCAAGGCCACTGACTGCCCTTCTGGCCATACCTGCTGGCGTGGACTTTGTCCCAGTTAGGGGCTTCCTGTACCTTTGCTGCACATCAACCCTAACTGTCCTTCCTTCGTCAGCAGCAGCCTTGAGGTGCTGCTGCCTCAGCGAATGTCCAGCCCCCGGCTGAGGGGGCCTGCAGTCACGTCCCAGGATAGCTGGCTGTGTGCTCGTGGTGCGAGGGCCCGCGGCCATCCAGAGCGGAGGCTGGATCCATGGGGACACTGGGAGAAGACAGGGTGCACCGGAGCCACATTAGGTGGTGTGACCTCTGGGGATGTCCGTCCTGCATCCTCAGGACCGCTCACCATCTGATTCCTTGGCCGGCTGCACCCCCCCACCCCCCAGTCAGTAATCTGAGTCCCCACGGGGCTGGTAGCTGCAGCCACTAAGCCAGGGCTGCTCTGTTTTTTCTCAACGGTGAACACGTCCCAGCTCTTCTTCAATGTCAAAGTGTTTTCCCATGAACGCCAGGGGTAGCATTTCCCAGCCTTATCAGCCCTAGCAACCAGAAGCCCGGTTTCCAGGAAAGCAGCCACTCGATCCAACCTGGTGAAACCCACTCCCCAGCTCAGCAACTGACATGGCATTTATGCCCCAGCACTCAACAGCCCAGTGTTTTTTTAGCTGTGGCCACATGACATCATTTCCAATTGGCCAGCCTTTCTCCTCCTCCTCCCCCATACAGCCTCACCCCACCCCACCCCCTTCTCCTCCCTGCGGCTCAGGGTGGTATTTTGTGGAGTAGTGGGAAAGCTTTGGGCTTTTTTGGGGGGCTCATTCCCTTTGTTTCTCAAAATATCCCTGGCCCTGGCTGCTCTAATCTCTTCCCTGAGTAGAGACAGCGAGGCTCCTGCTCCAGGAACACAGCCTGCTCCCTGAGACAGCATTCTGGCTCAGCCCTGGGGGGCCCGGCCTGGGTGGCCCTCAGGAAGACCTTCTCCTTCAGTGGGGGTGCCTCCCTCCCTGGTGTGAAATGGAACACTGTTTCTCAGAACCCCGCATCCTGTGAAGCCCTTGGGAAAAAATAACCTCGATGCCCACAGGCGATTGTTCAGTACTTCCCACGCCTGACACTTGTCTTTGAGTAAGTCTGGTGGCGCTCTGGCCGGCCCCGCAACAGCGGGACTGTGTCTTGTGATATGAAGAGGTTCTTTTCCTAACCATATATGTCTCCCCAAGAGCACCAATAAATAATGTGGTTGCTCGGCCTGGGTTGTCTTTCCCTAGCTGGCCCAGGAGCCCTCTGGCCCCTGCTCGCGGCTTCTCCTGTTTCAATTTCCATGTCCTCTCCGATTTGTAACTCAAGGAGCTCCCAGGCTTAGGAACAGATGACGAGCTGGCCACTCCTGGCTGTGGCACCTGGGGAAGGGGCGATGGGCAATGACTTGCAGGCACACTCCCGGCTCCCTGGCCCCGGCTGCCGTGACACACTGCAAGGTGAGCAAGGATGTGTGCTGGGGGGTGGGGTTCTTGGGTGCCAAACCCAGAGGATGTGGCAAGGTCAAGCGAGTGAGTAATGAGATGGGGAGATGTGGAAGAGTATTTCTCACAGCAGAATCTTCCAGACAGTCCTCCCAACACACCCTCATATTCCACCTGCGTCTCCTGCCAGAAGGGGGTCCGCTGAGTGAATACTAGAGTTTGAAGACCTTTCAAACCCATCACGTACCAGCTCTTTATTTCACACATGGAGAAACTAAAGCCCAGAGGAGAAAGAACTTGTCCCAAGTCAGGGTAGAGCTGGGGTTTGACCCAGCTTCCTCCCAGAGCTGTTATTCCGCACATGTAAGAGCTCAGGGGCTGCCCCTCTGCCCCCCCCCCCCCCCCCCCCCCCGGCCCCCCCCGTGTGTGTCCGTACCGCGCCCAGGAAGGGGAGTGCACACTGAGACGGGGTGAGGGCGAGCTACAAGATTAAAGGCCGTGGAAATCATGGATTTCGTCCTTCAAGCCTGGTCCCTGTACCCCCAGCTCTAATGACCCATTCCAAAGTGATGGATTTTTCCTTCTGGTTCAAATTAAATCCCCACCCTCTTAGACCTGGGGGAGAGCACAGGCAGAGCTCCAGGTTCGGGCAACTGGGGAGAACACTGTGGGCTCTTCATTGCCTCCAGCTGTTCTTTTATCATTGAGTGCCTGGAGTGGAGGGAGCCAAAAGGGCCATGAGGGCGAAACATGCCATTTGGGAAGTGGCTGGCAATGCTGTTGTTGGTGGCCAAGCGGTTACAGTGACAGCCAGGACATCCCTAGGCTCTGATTTATCCTATCCCTGAGCACCGGAGTGCAAATTTCTGAGAAGGCCCCTAAAGGTGACAAAAGCTGAGAGCAGCTTTGGGCTTTGAGGGGCATCTTCCCTCAGAGCTCTGGAATGCAGCGTATTTGTTTATCTCCTGCACAGTTCGTGCCTGCCCACCCTATCCACCTCTGCTTTCTCCTGAGCTCAGCATGCCATTGGCATTTAATAAATGTGAAAAAATAGCAACATGGGAGCCACTGACCTTCACATAAAGGCCTTTGAGACCATTGCCAGAACGGTTCCTCCTTCACGAGGCCAGACAACGATAGCCTGGAAGAGGAAAAGAGAAACACGCCCCCAGCACTGGGGCCACGGACGCCGGGGTCCGGGAGTGGTGTGGAGTTTGCAGCCAGGGCTTAGAGGCCACAATATGTGGAATGGGGCCAAATGCTCTCACAGAGATGCCTGGGCTCTCTGCCCTTTGCAAAGCAAGGACGGTGGCTTCGCTCCACCTCACCCTACCCCTCCAGACGTTTCTATGCTCTGCAGGCCAATGGGAGTCACGCATGCGTGGTGATCCAACATTTCAGATCCAAGCACTGGATCAAAGCTGGGGCACTTCTCTCCCCCTCTCTACTGTGCCTGTCTGTCCTTCACAAAATCCCTTCCACCATCATTAGGCTGAGACTTCCTTGTCTGGTGGTAAAGGCAGGGGGTACTGGGGTTTTCCAGCCAGTCTGAGTCAGGTTTCAATCTCTTCCTTTTTTTAAAAAAATTATACAACCTTTTCTTTACCCACAAGTCCTGGTCAGTGGAGTCTAGGCAAAGTATTCTTTTTCCACCTGCTCTCTCCCTTCCTCTTTTTCTTCTTCCCTAAAGACTGGAAAAGGTGAATATTGTAGAGGGAGGGATCTGTGTCTTCTGAGGGCCTGGAATTAGAAGGCCAGCTTTATGTAATTTATTTAACCTTGCTTTCTAATCGAATTGACAGGCAAGGCCATTGAGATTTGGGGAGAGTAAGTGGGCAGCCAGGGTCAGCAGCTGGCTGGGGGACAAGGTTGCATCCTGGCCAATCATATGGGGGCTCACAATGTCACAGGCGTGACTCGCTAGATCCCTTTTCTTCTCAATGACAGTGTTGTAAGAAGGGTGGCCGTGGTTAGCCCTGTTTTACAGGTGAGGCAACTGAGGCTCAGCAAAGTTAACTACCTTCCTAAAATTGTCACTTCAGTTTCTGAGCCACTGTCACAGCAGCAATGGCTATTTTCCGGGAACCCTGGACATTATGGATGGCTGGACTGTTGGTGTGACCAGCCACCCCTGTTTGCCCAGGACACTCCCAGTCTCAGCAGTGAAAGTGCCATGTCCTGGAAAACCCCTCAGTTTTGGCAGGCCGGACAGGGAGGTCCTCTCACTGACAGCTCTTCCATCGTTTACTCTGTCTTCTTGCCTCCCCACGGTGCATCATCTGTCTCTCTTGATCTTCACAGCAACACACTGTTAACTTCCCTTGTTGTCTTGGGAAAGGCAGAGGGGGCTCTGGAGGTGGAGAGCAGGTGCTAGTTCATGGGTTTTTTTCCAGGATTACAGGGAGAAATGTAGCACAGTGCTGGGAAGGCAATGAATGCCCATGACATGGCCACTCCTGGTACTAGCTTAATGTGGTGCAGACGATGGAAGGATGGAAGGGGCAACCAAGAGTGACAGCAAAACTGGGGGCTCTGGTGCGGTGCAAGGGAGCTCTGAGTGAGCCGCCTCTGTTTGCTGAGTTCCTCCTCAGGAAATGCCGGGCACTTCCTCCATCACCGGGTCCTTGAGGCTGTGACTAGGTCCAAGAGGCAGGCTGTAGGACACGGGTTGCAGTGAGGAAACCCAGGCACAGGGAGGCCAGCAATTGCCTAAGCAAGGATGTGGGGAGCGAGGAGTTGAATCCAAAGCTATGCTCTTAATTGTGGGATGGGGCTGCCTCTTAGCGGGGGAAAAAGGATGGGGAGGAAAGTGCTTGAGAGGGACCTTGAAAAAAGCACATGCAGGAAGAAGCAGAGAAAACTGAATCTCTGTGGGAGCCGGGAGTATGAAGAGGGCTCTCTGTGCCATGAGCATTCCCACCTGCCAGGCATTGCTCTGTGCCTTCCCATATATTAACCCCATTTCAAACCTCCCCAGTTCCTGTGAGGTTGCTATCATCATCATCACCATCATCATTTCTAGTTTACAAATGAGAAGGATGAGGCACAGAGGGGTAAAGTCACTTGCCCAAGGTCACATCTCTAGTAAATGACTTAGCTAGGATTCAAACTTGTCTGATGGTGAAGGACTAGTGGAGTTTTTTCCCCTCCTCCTCCTCCTAATTTTTTTTAAGTTTATTTATTTATTTTGAAAGAGACAGAGACAGCATGAGCAGGGGAGGGGCAGAGACAGAGGGAGAGATAGAAAATCCTAAGCAGGCTCTGCACTGCCAGCGTAGAGCCCGATGCAGGGCTCAAACTCACAAACTGTGAGATTATGACCTGAGCTGAAATCCAGAGTCAGATGCTTAACCGAGTGAGCCACCCAGGCGCTCCTCCTCCTCTTCTTCTTTAAAAATTACACAACATTTTATTATTTACTGGCAAGGTCAGTGGAGTTCAGGCAAAATCTTCTTTTTCAGACAGCTCTCTCTCTTCCTTTTTTAGGTTCTTTTCTAAAGGCTGAGAAAGGGTGAATATTTCAGCCCCTCTTCTGTGCTGCCTTTTTTCTGGCTCAGGCCCACCATGGAGCAGGGCTTGCATGTGGGGGTGGGAAGTTGGTGACTGGTAATCCCGTGTGTGTGAGTGAATGTGTGTGCGTTCAGATCAAAGTTGCTCCAGGAAAACATTTGGATCCTGGAGCTGGAAGGTCAACCCTGCCTCGCCTCGCTCCTTTGTCGTTCATCTCTAAACCTTCATCAAGCCTTCATGGTTAGTCTGTTTGCAGGAGCACAGGGAAAGTGCCAAACCCTGAGATCACCTGTTGGCTTTGTCCCAACTCGCTGCTCAGGAAAGTAGCCTTTGTGCATCCCCTGCACCTGTGTCTGATGGGAAATGAGGGGTGGGAGGAACACATCAGGAAAGAGCCTGTGCTGGTTGTGGGTTCCATGCCCTAGGGGAAGCTCTTGCTCTGCCCCACCCTTCTGGACAAAGGGGAGCCCTGCCTCACCTCTTCTCAATGTTACCCTTGCAACCACCTCTTCACTCTGGCCCATTACTCCCCTGCCTCCACCTGTTCCCCCTCCCTAAGTCTGCACAGGGCTCGTCCTGGAACCAGTGGAACCAGCCCCGCTGTGAACAGCATAACCATGAATGAACCACACATCAACAGGTTGAAATGGATGAACGACAAAAGCCTGATACCAGCCACAGTTGATGGTCTACCTTGTAATGAAATACAGAATCACCTTCTGCATAGCGGGGAGTCCTGTTTCAAGTAGCTTTCACCCTGGAAGCTCTCTTCCTGCCAGTAAGTTAGGTAATTAGATCTATACCAGAGCGATGGAGAGAAGCCATTTCCAGGTAGAATGCATTTTGCAGAGCAACCAGTAAAGAAGAAGAAACTGCCTAAACTGGAGCATTGCATGGGTATCTAGTGATTATGCTTCATAACAATACAGAGAATTAATCTTTACAGCTCATAGTAAGTACCCCATAGAAAGCTTTGAATAAATGAGTAGAAACTCTGTTTTTATATCTGAAGTTGGAGCAAGTAGACTGAGAAACAGAATTCTATGTGATCAGAATATCAATGCTGTTACAAAATTGTGATTATTCTAATCTAGACTGACTTGAAAGGTAGAGCAGTTTGTGATACCTAGAAATAGATTATTCTAGATATCTAGAAATAGATCATGAAACCAAGGTAATGAAAGAAAAGAATCAGCCATTGATATACATCGCTTTGCGGGAATTGGCTAAAAGCAGGTGCTGTGGATTAGTGCACAGGTTATGTACTGCCCAACGTCAGAATGTACTCTTCACGGTGACTACAATACGCAGGGTGTTTTGCAAGGTTATGGCTCTGGATAAGTGTTTTCCCAATCTCTTAGTGAAGGATATTTAGAAAATGAGTAGCAGAACAAAACAGTGCATGTTATTTGGTTTGTCTACACATATATTTATGTTTGTCTTAATAGTTTAACAAATTGTGTATAATTCACTCATGTGGATTCGATCATTAAAATTTTTTTTGG